CAATTGTTAGTTTCGTGTTGGCGGGCTCCGCCTAAAAGTGTCACATGGTCCCCCACCTTCCCTTAGATATTGCAAAAAGAAACATGCAAAAATTTAATCATTGCACTCCGGGGGGCGAAATTCGGGGGAATCGCAAACTCGGCTCCATCGCAAAAAAATTGTAGTAAACGTATTGCAAAATGGATGACAGTGTATACGCATACTGAGAACACACTAGGGTTTGTAGAGATCTAACGAATAGTTTATACATCAGTTGCCTAAAAGTCAACTTACACTCTTCGTCTTTTTCCCTGTTGACCCACAGCTCCAGGAAGGTGAGCTTGACGACGCGCTCGCAGGCGCGAACACCCCTTGATGGCCTCCTCGGCGCGCTGCCGCTCCGGGTACAGGTGCAGGACGAGCTCGGCGGGGGCCCGGCATGCTGGGCAGGTGCGGGGCGAGGGCCGCGGGGCCCTCCAGGAACGAGAGGCGCTTGCAGCCCGCCACACTGGCCATCAGCGCCGGCGTCACGGCGGCGCGGTAGTCCGGGATCCTGAGGGCGAGCCAACGGAGTCAGGCTAACTGCTTAATGCTTCAGGAACCGCACTCTGAATGTTAATGTACAATATCGTACGTGGTGATGCATGTTTTTAAAAACCCGTGCACCGTCGTGCATAATTAAGGGGGCACACCAGTGAAAATGCAGAGGTTTCGAAAAACGATCATTCTGAGAAAAAACCGATGTTTTCTATTGATATTTATTCTTGGTCAAATTATGTAAAGAAAAGGAAAATCAGTACGGGAGAGCGAGGTGGCGATGGCAAGATGAAGCGCTAGTGCACTTCTTTTTTCTGCGACCTTGCCTCACTCCTGCCACGATTCCGCCTCTCTGGATTCCGCTCGCGCACGGGATTTGAAAATTTCTCAACAGGACCATGTGGCTATGGTCTGAACCAGGGGCATGAAAAAGAATGATTTTGAATTTTTTTCAGAAGGCAAAACTAGAAAAAAATTTTTAACCAATTTTTTCACACTTTCATGGCTGCAGCTCACGTCCTATTATGGGATGGCCATTTCCGAGGTTCAGACCATAAACGCAAGTGTAACGAACATTTTGCCGCAAACCGCTTTAAAATTATCTTAATTTTTGCGCCCGTGAGAGTGGCACAAAGGTTCAAAAAAGGTGTTTTGAGAAAAAGCCCTATAATTAAAAAATAGATTGACGTTTTTTTTTCGGATTATAAATGCGTCTTTTCACGTATTTTAGTTCAGTTTGCGCCAAAATGTTCCTCTTTTCAACTGCGTTTGGGTGCTTCAAGGGTTTTGTAATTTAAGGTCAATTGAAAAAAACCCGAACGTTGACAATTGGTCAAAATATGCAAAAAAATTTCCTTTTTAGCAACTTCAAAAATGTGCACAAGCCAAAGTAATCGGAATTTCGGGGTGGGGTTCGCGGCATCCGACTCGGGATGAATAGCAGAAAATTAGGATAAAATAAAAAAATTGACGAAAATTTTTAAAAAAAATTTGACGATTTTCACTGGTGTGCCCCCTTAAGCGTGAATGTAAAAATGTATGCATCTTTACGCACGATATTACGCAAATTCAACGTATGCACAAAATCGAGCAAAGTTGCACGTACAAATTTCTACCTTAACATTTAGTGTGTGGTAGTTCGCGCGCCACACTCCGAATATGTGACGAAGAAATTTTCTATAATACGTAGGAAACGTCGCAAGCATTATATAAGGGAGTTTTTGTTCGTACCTTTCAACACACTTATTCTTGTGGATTTTTTGGACTTTTCCACACATTATTCAGCACTTTTCATGCACATACTTTAAGGGGGAAATACCCATTGAAGCCCCTTTTTTTAAGTGCCTCTTTTTCATTGAAAACTTTTCCCCTACCTTAAGGATTTTAAATTTTTGCCTTGTAATGTGTTCCTTAAAGATTCCAAATTCAGCCAGACATTTAACCCAAGTACCCTATGAGTGTAGAAAACTTCGGCAATAAAACAACGCTGCCAACCTGCGGTGCGCACGTTTTCTCGAAAAGTAATTGATCTCCAGGTCCAGGTATTCTGTACGGGATACTTGACAAAAATCTAGTTCACACCGTCCCCCTTTTGGAAAGTGAGTTCCAGTTTTTTTGTAAATAAGGCTGAAAAGTGAAAATAGAGAGTCAATACGTCATTTTTTTCACTCTTCTGCCGTGTTTACAAAAAAACTGGAAATCACTTTCAAAAAAAAGGGCGATGGTGTGAACAAGATATATGTGTCAAGTATCCTGTACAGAATACCTGGACCTGGAGATAAATTTACTTTTCGAGAAAACGTGCGCACCGAAGGTGGCAGCGTTGTTTTTTGGCCGAAGTTTCTACACTCATAGGGTACTTGGGTTAAATGTCTGGCTGAATTTGGAATCTATAAGGAACACATTACAAGACAAAATTAAATTCCTTAAGGCAGGAAAGAGTTTTCAATGAAAACTAGGCACTTTGAAAAAAGGGGCTTCAATGGGTATTTCCCACCTTAAGGTGAGGTGCCCAGAAACTGGGTGCCTTTGTCGCCCGCCGGTGCACTGAAATCGAAAGTGTGGTGAAATTACCACATTTGGCTGTGGTGAGACCAAAAGTGTGGTTACCGCATTCTACCACACGTACAAATGTGGTAAGAAGTATACACCGTCAAATAAATGGTGTACGAACCTATAATTTAGCCGTTACCTTATGTATTGCGTGGTCAAGACCACCCTTTTATGAGGTATGGAGGACTGACCACATATTTGCTGTGGTATTCACTATGAATTTCATGTGGTGCTTTATTGACCACTGATTTTTAGGGGTATTGACCGCATTTCCACGTGTGGTAAATTTGGGTAACCACAGTTTTGCGCCTACCACACATTATTTGTAGGCTGTACCACACTTCGAAGGACAGTGTGCAAAATGTCCACCCAATTTTTTTCTGGGCAACTTTGTCGCCTAGTCTCAGGTGGACAAACCATTAAGGAACCTGCCTTCAACTATGGCTCAGCAGCGCCTAAGGTGCCAAAGGTCCCCAGAATCTGGGCACCTAAGTCGCCCAGGAGCTACCTGTGCAATGCTCTACCGTGGGAGAGGGCCAGTTTGCTGTATGATTTGTGCACTCCATAACTACTCTGCAAACTGAAGTGTGTACATAGTACACTCTTATTGGAGTATGCTTCCAAGTACACTCTTATTTACAGCATACTTGCTAGGCACACGCCAAAAAAGAGTGTACATTGCATGTACACGCTTAACAAGAGTGTACCTGGCAAGTACACTTAAACTAAACTGGCCCATGCTTTTAGATAGGACTAATCGAGTGTATTTTAGTGTGTACTTGCAAGGTTCACATTTATTTAGCGTGTACTTGCCAGGCACACACTATTTTAGCGTGTGCGTAGCAAGTATGCTGTTAATAAGAGTGTACTTGGAAGCATCCTCTAATAAGAGTGCACTATGTACTCACTTCAGTTTGCAGAGTAGGCGACAATGGTGGCCCAAAACTGGGCGACATTTGGCACCCTAAAAAGTCGAGCGGGCAACCACCCAGTTTCTGGACACTCAATATTTAGAGTGTCATTATGCATGCACAGATGCGTACGTAAGGTGTTCATAATATTATGGACCACTGTGTACCGTCATCGGGGGTAACTTGGAACACACTGAAAAACCAAACGTGGTCCAGACCGCACCACTGGTGTGGTCAGATGGATGCCATTTTGACCACATCAGTTGGTGTGGTCTAGACCACGTTTGACGACGTAGGGCGGTCTAGACCCCGTTTGGCCACGTTTGATGTGGTCTAGCCCCCAAACGCACCCAAAACCCGGTCTAGACCACACCAGCTGGTGCGGTCAAAATGGCATCCATTCGACCACACCAGTTGGTGCGGTCTAGACCACGTTTGGTTTATCAGTGCAGTCAGCCCTGTACACCATGTTGGTGCTGCCATTCTGCGACGGGGGTTCCTAGCGTCAAACCCCCGGCAGGATTTTGTTTCAGAGGCCTCAGGGCACGCGCGGAAAGGTGGAAAAGCCGCATAGCCTCACAATTAGTATATGAGAAACGGGAAACTACATAATAGGGTTTTTGACAAAATAGGTCAAACATTGACAAGTTGACCCTGGTGCAAGGAGTGAAAGGCAGATTTGGCCGAGTAGTCTCTCTGGGTTGTGAGATAATACATAGACAATAACAGTCGCAAAAGGGCCTTGATTTCAGTTTTCCCATCTTCGGTCCAGACTTCAATTTATCAAAAATCGGAATTTTACGGGGTAACTTGGGACAGTCTTTTCCTTATGTTTCCAGCAGTCCAAGCCTCTCAGGAGTTGTCTGACCCGGTCTCTGACATAACCTTAACTTCGGATGTTTCGCTGATGATGGAAAGAGATGCCTTGCTCTGCAGTTTTGTCTTCTGGTAATCCATATTTTGAAATTTTCAGAAAACGCCTGGGAAATAACCGAAGAAAAGAGAGTTCTTCGTAGAGTCCTACATAAAGTCTAATATCGGTCCCACACGAGTTCCTAGGCCTGAATTCTTGATCTAAATGTTGTGACTAAAATTTATTTCATCTTTTAACATCAATAGATGCAATTACCTCCTATCCCAAGTAACCCCCGGTCATGGGGTAACTTGGGACAGTCTTTCGAGCCCGCTTGTAATCGATATAATCCAGGCAAATGGGAAAAGGGTGAAACTTTAACAAAGTTATGAGTCAATGGTCTAGGTTGAAAATCTTACCTCTGGCGTTCAAAAAACGTGAAAAAGTGTCCCAAGTTACCCCCGTGGACGGTACATTTTAAAAATCTTACTGCGTAAAATGTACCCTGTGATTATTAGACAGTGCACACCTTACGTACCTATCTGTGCAGGCATAATTAATTACGCATCAAATAGACCACAAGAGTTTAGTGTGAACGAAAATACTTGAAAGAATCGTATTACGAACACATAATGCTTCGTATCATGCTTGCGCCGAGTTCACTGAAACAAAGCTTAAATTTCATAGTGAGACATTTAGAAAGAAGGCATGCTCTAGCCAGACGCTACGAATGCAACTGTCTACTTAGTACATAATTACTAATGCTTGCTTTCAAGTTCCCATTTACAAATGTATGCTTTGCCAAGTGTTTACTTAAATGTATGCGTTTGGAAGCATGCACTTTGTGGACAGTAAGGTGTGCAAAGCACAAGTCCCGCCAAGTTATTGTCAAACCGGGAAGTCTCGACAAAATTTGGTTAGACATAAGGCAGACTCGCCACAAAATGGTCAGACACAAAAGTCACGCCATTTCGTGGCGAGACATACACTACAAACCTAACCGTCTGCTAAGTACGCACTTACAAATGCGAGCTTGCAAGTACACACTTACAAACGCATGCTTGGCCAAGTACACACTTTCACATGCATGCTTGGAAGTACACACTTACAAACGCATGCTTGATGCATGGAGTTATACGGCGTCAAGCATGCGTTCGTAAGTGTGTACTTGCAAGCATGCATTTGTAAGTGTGTACTTGGCCAAGCATGCGTTTGAAAGTGTGTACTTACAAGCATGCAATTGTAAGAGTGTACTTAGTGGACAGTTAGGTTTGCAGTGTATTTGTCTGAACATTTTCTGGCGAGACGTTTTTGTCTGACCATTTTCTGGCGAGACTCTTTTGACTGGCCAAATTTGGGGCGAGGCTGTCATGTCAGAGCAAAATTTGACGAGACCACATGTCTCACCATGCTGTGACGCGAAGTCTTCCCGTTCAACTAGCAGTGTCAGACTACCTGGGGTGCCTCAGAATGGAGTCCTGCGGCCGGCCGTAGTCCCTGTTGAGGTCCAGCCCGGCCAGTGTGGCAGCGGCGCCGTCAATGAGGTCGCACACGAGGCGCTCCCCGCAGATGCCGCCGTCGCCGCGGTTCATGAACAGCTTGCGGAGCCGGGGCAGCTTGCCTCTCAGCTCGCCAGCGTACGGGTAGTCCCTGCCGGACATCGATGCAAAGCCGAGTTCAATGTGCACACTGACATTCTCGAGGGGCCCACCACTCAGCTCAGGGTTGTGCCTGATCACGTAGAGAGAATAATAAAATAAAACTGTATTATATTGCCCAGCTCAGAGCATTTTGGCCCATTTTCACAAGAAAACACCCCAAAATCTGGTAAAAACAGTGATAGCCAGTTTTGACGTGAGATTACCAATGATTACTGGACTAAGTGTACACACACACACACATGAGTACCAGAGTGGTGGACTTCTCGGATATTCCAAACGCTACAACATGCTTGAGTTCTGCTGTTTACAAAGTTTTTGAACCAGATATAAACTGTACTAATGTCTTTTTTACTATGCACAATTTCGATCGTTTCTTGCTAAAATTTTGAACACATTAAGTATAAATTATAAACTATAATTAAAAGTTAATGGTAGGATAATGAACGAAATACCCAATAATGAACAAATCGTACGAAGTGAAAAAGAGAAAAGTACGAATTCCGTTTTCACCAAAAACTTTTTGGCTGGAGATGAACGGTCCATACGAGGCTGAAAATGTGCACTCACCAGGAGGCGTCCAGCGACAGGCACTCCAGGGTGGGCATCTGGGCCAGCACGTCCAGCACGGTGCGGCCCTGACTGTCACGCAGGGGGCCTCGCTTGGAGGCGGGCACGTCGTCAGAGATATCCTCCTGAAATAAAAAGACAACACAAAAGAATAAGAAATTGGAATCGAGCACGCCTGCGGAGAGTCGATGCCTTGTTTAGGTGCAAGAGTACCGATTCTGGTGGGGAAACTTCACAAATACGTGGTCATAATGGTCTGAGTTCACTCCCACACTCGTAAAAGTCTACGAAGCATGAGCTTCATAACTGCAAAGAAAATGAAGGCACTGTAGAATTGGTTCGTTTAATGAAGTAATGCTTCTTGATAAGAAGGATTTTGCTTCGTGCAACGAAGCATTTCTTCGAAGATTTTACAATCCCTTCGCTTTTTTTTCGTATTACAAAGCGATGCTTCGTGAACATTTTTCTGTGCCGAAGATTGAACTCAGATTAGTAAACAACAACCCGTGCCACACTCTGAAAACCTTATTAACTGTTTAAGCCCTCCGAAGTAAAGAAGCTTCACAGAAGGAAGTATTTTGAGCATACATAAGCATGCAAAGTAACTAGTTCGTAACACTGAAAATCTACCGGCGTGACTTCGTGCCGCTGAAGGGACGTGAATTAAGTGTCACGCCATTACGGCATGATAGAAAAGTCACGCCAAAAATCGGCGTGACTCAAAAATTCGCGCCAATTTTTGACGTGCATTTCTTGTCATGCCGCTTTTTGGCATGACTTGTCCTAGAAAACGCGTTAACGCTAAATGTCTTATGTACTTTATTGTCCATAGCTATGGCCGTTTTTGTACATACAGAACTTATGTACAAATTTGTACATAAATTAGGAACAATATTTCCATATTGTGCTTAAGTATGTAAAACATTGTACCTAATTTATGTACAAATTTGTACATAAGTTCTGTATGTACAAAAACGGCCATAGTTATGGACATAAAGTCCGATAAAGTCCATAAGAATTTAGTGTGTTGTCATTCACGCCAAATGACGGCGTGACTCACATGTCACGCCTTGGCCATGTGTCCAACCATTACGTTTTCAGTGAATTTTGGAACTAATTCTTCGAGTAGATAAATCAATACTTTGCCTGCCCGCTTAGGCAGGCAAAGTTATCAGCTGACGGCATGTACTTTCCTGACTTCACTCTCTCCCGGGAGTGCACGCAAATGAGTATGCGCTCGCAGGAGAGTCATCGTAAGTACTCTGCAAATCCGACGTACATCGTCTCTACCTAGGGCATACCTGCAAGCACGCTCTAGCTGGCGCATGCCTGCCAAGCATGCACTTACTAGTGCAAACATGCCATGTGCACGCTAACTGACGCATACCTGCAGTGGACAAGAGATAGGGAGTTGCCTGCATCAGGCAGCATGCACATGGCAGGCACACTCTAGGTAGAGCGTACAATGAATGCTTTTTGGATGTGTAAAGTACACGCCGAAGCGAATGTGCCGAGTACGCTGCTGGCTTTGAGGAGCGGGCCCCAGGTAGACCGTCCCTTGCTTCTTCAAATCGACCCGAGACTTAAGTTAACAAATCGAACCGAGACTTATCGTGGTGCCAAATCGTCGAGGGGCAGGGTTGTTAACGTTACTTTAAAGAGTAAAGACTTTACCAGCGTTACCGTTACCTTTACTGTAACGATAACGGTAACGCGTTACTTTTTGAGAAATGAGTAAAGTAACGACGTTACCGTTAACAAAGAGGAGTAACGCAGTAACGGCGTTACCGTTACTGCGAGGCATCAAAAAGAGCTACAAACCTATATTTTTCTCCCTTTCTCTCCCTGCTGTGGTCAGCTCATTTGCCAAGGCGCTCAATCTGTTTCTGAGAGCAACAAATAAGCGTCCACACTCAGAAAAAAATCTTTCAACACTTGAACTTTTTTGAGTGTAGACGCTTATTTGTTGCTCTCAGAAACAAATTAAGCGATGCATCACTTGAAATAGAGGTCCCATTGGCCATGAATTGGCAATATTGGGAGAAGTAGATGCAGAAGTTTACATTAGAGCGTGTTAAACATTAAAATTTTTTTGTCTTTACTTTAATTCTAAAATAATCCTAATTCACCCCAGCAATTTTAACCGGTAAAATTGTGGCTTTTAAGGAATTTTAGGATTTGAAGTAACGATAACGGCGTTACTGCGTTACCTGTAACGGTAACGCGTTACTTTTTCAGAAGTCGGTAAAGTAACGACGTTACCGTTACTCAAACCTGAAGTAACGGTAACGGTAACGCGTTACCTTTAAAAAGTAACGTTAACAACCCTGTCGAGGGGTGAATCACAAGTGTACTCATGTGTACAAATTTGCCCGTACTCAGTGTACTCACAAATTAAAAAAGGAAGAAATTCCCTGGAATTTTGACCGATTTGGCGTTGAGTGCCTTTTAAAACGCTAAATAAAGCCTTAAAATGTGAAATTTATGAGTAAAGCAAGGTCTACTCAGCCGTACTCATACTTATGTGTACACCAGAACGCAGAGTGATTCACCCCTCGCTCCACTTGGTGAGAAAACACTTCTGCCAAAGTTTGGTGGCGCAACGATATCGCATGGCCGAGCCCGAGGGGCGAAGTGCAAATTTCAAAGTTGGGCCGATTTCGGAATTTTAAAGTTGTCTGTTCAGGTTGACACGTCATTATGGTGGCCAAAGGCAAAAATTTCAAGCGTTTCGCCGCCATGCGTATGGCCGATCTACGACGCCTTAGGGCTGCAAGCCATCCCGGAGGGCAGTGGATCGCTGCGTCGCTGACTACATCTTCCCAAAACATGTACCTGAATTATCTCTGACAATTATGATGTGTTTAGTGAGGTACTCAATAGAAAAATGCTGAAATGCTGCCCTTTAAGTGTCAAACTTACTTTGGCATTTTTCGCTTGATTTCACTACAAACCTAACCGTCTACTAAGTACGCAGTTACAAATGCGTGCGTGCAAGTACACACTTACGAACGCATGCTTGGCCAAGTACACACTTACAAATGCATGCTTGCAAGTGCACTTACAAACGCATGCTTGACGCATGGAGTTTCACGGCGTTGAGCATGCGTTTGGAAGTGTGTACTTGCAAGCAGCATGCATTTGAAAGTGTGTACTTGGCCAAGCATGCGTTTGAAAGTGTGTACTTACACTACTTGTTAGTGTGTACTTAGTAGACAGTTAGGTTTGCAGTGTAGGTGACATCACGTTGAAACGAACGTGACAATATGTCACATTCGTTCGAGCATTGTGTCACATTCGTTTGAATGTGAACAAGCTGATTTTTGGCCGATTCACATCCAAATGAACGTGACACTTTGTCGGAGTGTACTTGCGAGTACACGCTGAACAGAGTGTGCTGAGCACACTGTTGAGTTTGCAACCCACCAATTACTATGCGATGAGTCAAACGCATGGTCAAGTCATTCAAACACACGTGACACAAATTTGTAAATTTCTTGTGACATTCTGGTGCACCTACCTGTCTGCTGAGCTGCACCGTGGCCCCAACTAAGTGGTTGCGGCTGCGCCACATCATGTCCAGCAGGGCCGAGCGGCCACGCAGCGTCATGTGCCAGGAGGTCATCTCGTGGACCTGCAAGCACAACCCCAAAGGGGCCGTACCCATATTACGTGACCGATTTAGGGGGGGGAGGGGGTTCGGCCAAATCCTACGGACGGTCACGAGGGGGGAGGGGGGTTAATTCAAAAGTCACGTAGTCACGAATTTGGAAATTATGATAGCAAAACACACGAGGTAGCGGCGCGGTCAGGCAACAGATATCTGTTCCTGCTGCATCCAAGCGGACAGAAACCAAGTTTCCCGAAATATGACAAGTTCACTCTCATTCTAGGAACGTGACATCACGTTGAAACGAACGTGACAAACTATCACGTTCGTTTGAGCATTGTGTCACATTCGTTTGGCCAAAAATCACCCTTGCAAAAATGGAAAATATATGGGCACTATATGGACAAAATATATGGCCCAACATGTATTGACGACATATGTGGAAAAGATAATTTAGCAAGATACTTTTCTGATTTAAAAAATATGTGGCAAATATATAAATTTCATATATTGCTCCATATGTAGGCAATATATAGTGTGAATACACCATGGAGTCTGACGACTCGGAGACTTCCTTTACTATTATCAAAGAATGTAACCTCGCCATGCGAGGACATCCAATCTTGATCGTACCGTGGTCGCCTAGAAGAACTTTTCGCGCTACACCCAAAAAAGACGTTTAAAATTTCCTAACTGTTCCAGTTAACTTGTTAAACAGGATTTCTCAAAATTTCTTGGAGACTTAAACGCATAGAAAAGTACCTTGCCCCTGCTCAATATATGGCGTCAATATATTTTACAACATAAAATTATGTTGAGAAATATAGCCGCCTTTCAACATTGAGTGCCAAGATTTTAAGAAAAGTTACTAGAAAAGTCTGCCCTCCTCACCCTGCCCCATCCCACGACGGGCACCGTGTCAGATATTGAAACATACATTTCGCGAAGATAATATTATATGGGGGAATATATGCATCATATATTAACGGGCACCAAGATATACCCCAGATATAAACCACGTATTGCGCAAGATAATTCGCAATATATTGAGCAAGATACAATTATATTGACAATGCATGAAACATATATGGAGTCATATATTGACACATATTTTCCATATATTTTCCTTTTTGCAAGGGCAGCTCGTTCACATTCAAACGAACGTGACACAATGCTCAAACGAACGTGACACTGTGTCACGTTCGTTTCAACGTGATGTCACGTTCCTGGAATGAGAGTGTTTTAGCGGTCGTTTTGCCAGTTGATGTAAAATTGCTTAAATTTTACTTCCTCTGACCTTCAGGGTTCCAAAAAAAGACCCCTTCTGTGAGCTAATAGACTATTCTAGTCGTCGACTGAAGAACAAGAAGAACAAAACCGAAAATGAAGTGGATTACGAGCAGGTAGCGAGCCCAGTTGGAGAAATGTTGAGAAATATGTTTCTTTCCTTTACCAATAAGTATTAGAAACAGGCCTAATAGCATATCAACGCGAGAGGATTCGGGAACCTCTAAAATTATTGCACTCGAACGGGTGGACGGCGCCATTTCCGGTTTTGTGCGGCTTCTTGTTCTTCACTCACCAACGACTGGAATGGCTTCATCGATGATCTTTGTCTTTCTTCACATCAGGAAACATCAAATTAGACGAAAAACAGCTTTTGAGAAAATCCTACGTGACATCGGTGGGGGGGAGGGGGGGTTCGCGAAGATCCTACGGTGTGTCACGATGGGGGGGGGAGGGGGTCCAAAAGTGGCCTAAAACCGGTCACGTAATATGGGTACGGCCCCAAAGGCCTGTCACATCTCACCCAACGTAGAATGTTACCAAAGTCTGCTCAAGACTCACATATAAAAGGAAGAAACCTTCACAGTCCAAAAGAAATAAGAAGACGAATTTGAAAGAGAACTGACTAGTTTCAGGGTTATTTAAAAAAGACACTCTCAGCACGCACGCTTAAAACCTTACGAAATATTTTGAGCATACATTGGCCAAACTCATTTACTTTGATCTACGAAGAAATAGTTCGTGAATTACGAGGTATTTTCTTACCTTACATTTGCTCAAAATAATTTGTTATGACAAGCTACTTTTGTTTGTGAGGCCTTAAATGATCCAGGAAGCGGAAGAAGGGAATAACTTGACTTATCCCCAAATTGAGCTTTTATTATATTATTGTGCCTTAGAAGGGTTTACATCATTACACCAAATTATTTGACTTAATTCCAAGCAGTTTAGGAGAAAATCCATACGGAAAAAGGGTTAACTCAACTTAACCCCTTTTACGGTCTAAATTTCATTGGAAAATGGAGATAACTCAACCGAAGTCGACATGAGTCCGTTCACAAATTGGCAAAAAGATATAACTCAACTTGTATTTATATGAATCTAGTGTAAACAGAATCTTCAATTTGGAAAAAAGAGCTAAGTCCAAAAAATACACCGGAGGTACATACACTTTATGCATACTATTGTTCCACTTGACTTGTCTCCAAATTCCTCTTTGTTTAGGAAATATAAGGTGAGCTGACTCTGTTTTCCATTTCAACGGAAAGTGATAAGTCGCAGAAATCCTCTACTAAGTGACCTTACACTTTTGATTTTTTTTTTCCAAAATTTTACTAATGCTTTTTGAAATTATTAACATCTACAACATTCATTTGTTTTGTTTTAATTTTCTCTGCTAACAGTTTTTGGTTTCTCCGGGAAAATGGCCAAAATTGAGTTATCCGGTTCCTGGATCAAATAGTTGGCAAGGTTTTCAGAGAGCGTTACTGCTACGGTTGAGTTGTCTTTATATTCCGATAAAATTGAGACTCTACAAGGGGCTTAGGTTGAGTTCTGACCTGCTTCCATGTTGATTTTCTCTTTAACTGCAAGTAATTGAGTTTAACAATTTGGTCTAATGATGCAAACCTGAGGCACAATAACACACACTCTGGAGTTTAGTCAAGATATTCCTTTCTTCCTGGCTCAATTAAGAGCAAATGTAAGATTTTACCCCTTGAAGGTAAGATCCTATGTAGCAAAACAAAACTATGTGGAAGAAAGTGACAAGAGAGGGAGATTTCCACCAGAACCTCCCCTTCGGGAAATGAGGGAGGAGACACTAACCGTGAAGTACTGCGTCACGACAGTCCTGCTGCGGCGCAGCGCGTTCACCAGCCGCTTCATGCCCTTCTCCGGCATGTCCGCGCAGAAGTTGATGCAGTTCAGTGCGGGGGCGTGGAGCAGAATGCGCGCCGCGTCAGCCGTCGACACGCGGAGGCTGTCCTCCTTCAACTTCTCCCACGCCGCGGACACTGATGACAACAGAAAAAAATAATTTTTTGATCCCAGTAACCTAAGTTTGAACATTTATACACTAATTATGGGAAATATACTCTGCAAACTGAAGTGTGTACATAGCACACTCTTATTAGCGCATGCTTCTAAGCACACTCTTGTTTACAGCATACTTGCTAGGTCAGGGGTTCCCAACCCCGGGGTCGCGGAAAATTTTTGTAGGGTCGCGGCATGCTATCTGGGGTCGCGAGTTGGCTTATTATAAATTTTGGCCCTCTATTTTAAATACACTCAAACCCTCTAAATTCGGTCAAAATTCAAAATGTGACAGTTCATTTTCGAAAAAATCTCCCCTCCCCCCGAAAAAAAGATGGGGTCGCGTAATTTTATTCCTGGGGTCGCGAAAAATTTTGGAAGCAGTTTTGGGGTCGCGGGCTGAAAAAGGTTGGGAACCGCCGCGCTAGGTACACGCTAAAATAGAGTGTACATTGCATGTACACTGCAAACCTAACTGTCTACTAAGTAAACACTTACAAATGCGTGCTTGCAAGTACACACTTACAAACGCATGCTTGACGCATGGAGTTTTACGGCGTCAAGCATGCGTTTGTAAGTGTGTACTTCCAAGCATGCATTTGTAAGTGTGTACTTTGCCACGCATGCGTTTGTAAGTGTGTACTTGCAAGCACGCATTTGTAAGTGTGTACTCAGTAGACAGTTAGGTTTGAAGTGTACACGCCAAATAAGAGTGTACCTGGCAAGTACACTTAAACTGGCCCATGCTTTTAGATAGGACTAATCGAGTGTATTTTAGTGTGTACTTGCCAGGCACACTCTATTTTAGCGTGTGCCTAGCAAGTCTGCTGTAAGTAAGAGTGTACTTGTAAGTATGCTCTAATAAGAGTGTACTATGTACACACTTCAGTTTGCTGAGTGGCACTAAACAGAGCAAATTTGAGTACGTGGTAAGATGTGCTCCAAGCCACAATGAAAATCAACTAAACGGACGCAAAAACATCACGGTGAAAACTGTTCCTGGCTTTCCCAGGAACTCCCTGGAAATGACCTATGTCTTCACCACTGGCCTCCTGGGAAAAACAGGTTCCGTTTTTCCCGCGTACACTCGGTTTGGCTGAGGAGGGCGCCCCTTACCGTCATCGTCTTCATCGCCGCTGGAGAGACGCATGCTGCCGAAGCGCAGCCCGGAAGCCTTGCGGGCCTTGGGGTCCGTGCCGTCCCAGGCAAGCTCGGCACTGGCCCAGGCCAGGGGATCCTTGGAGAGGTTGCGCCACTGCTTGCAGACCAGAGGCACCACGTCCAGCAGCGTCAGCGGGCAGCGCAGCTTCCCGAAGATGCACACCACCAGTTCTGGAGGCAGCGTGTCCATGGCGTTGAGCCACCAGGAGCTCGCTGGAGAACAAAGATTTGAAATATTTAGCAGAATTCGGCCAACCGAACAGTGTCGTCCTCAGAAGTAGGCTCTGTAGAACGCGTTCTCATTTGAGCGCACCTCTAGGGCACTGTCATTATAACAGTTTACGCCTCGGAGAGGGTACCCAGTTGAGAACACACCCAAGCACTCTTCAAAGCGAAGAGCGTACATTGTATGCTCTAACTGGACACTGCAAGAAAAAGTGTAGATAGTACAACAAAAGTACCACAGAAACTGTACAAAAAAAAGTACAACAGGGATTTTAGAAAGTACAACGAGAATTGTACAAACTACTGCGAGCCCTGGACTGCACAGCATTCCTCATGCCGGTTCTATTGTACTTTGTACAACAACTGTTGTACTTGATAAGTGCACTAAGTACCTGATAAAAAATTTGCCAGAAATTTGTGTACTTTTGTTGTGGTTATTTCCTGCAGTGGAGCATGCCTGGAAGCACGCTCTAGCTAGCGCATGCCTGCCAAGCATGCACTTACTAGTGCATACATGCCAGGTACACGCTTCCTGATGCAGGCAACTCCCAACACTCTTAAAACCTTACGAAGTATTTTGAGCATACGTATAACAAACTAAAATACTTTGTTAAACGAATAAATAGTTCGTAAATTACGAAGTATTTTCTTTGTAAGCTTACGTATGCTCAAAATACTTTGTTATACAAACTACTTTTCTTTGTAAGGCCCAAAATAGTTTGTGAGGTTTTCTCAGTGTATCCCTTAGGCACGAGATGCATGCTTCAGTTGCCGTGTACTTGGCATGTATGCACAAGTAAGTGCATGCCTGGCAGGCATGCGCTAGGTAGAGCGTGCTTGCAGGCATGCTCCAGTTGGAGCATACAATGTACGCTCTTCGATTTGTAGAGCATGCCTTGCAATTAATGCAGCTGAAAAGAAGTCACCTGAGTACACTGTTGCGTTTCCTGACAACTTTCAGTGAAAAACGTAGATCTCCGTGAAAGCCTACACTGTAATTGCAAGTACGAGACAGTCTCAGTGCAAAGCACGATGTCTCACGCTTGCAAGTGTGAGACACGGTTTGTCCCACACTTGCTGCCGGTTCAATGACACGCTTACAGGAGTAAGACAAACCGTGTCACAGTTGCAAGGACTTGGGACAAACGTGGCTCACACTGGTAAGCGTGAGACACAGTGGTACGCACTAAATAATGTGAGATTGTCACAAAATTGGAATAGCCATGTAGGGTTTGGGTTTTGAAGATATCAGTGAGTTTCTTGGGCTTTAAGGGCAACTCGTAGTTGATATGACCCACTAAACGTTTCAGAAACCAAAACTGGCGAGTAGATCCTATTTTACGGCATACGTAATAATAGCTACCGAATTGAGCACTCTGGCCGTCGCCGATCAAAGAACAAGACAGCAAGAGCAAAAAACGGAACTGGCGACGGCAACATAACCCCGCACACATATTGGCTGAGCGAGCCTGTTCCGGCCTGTTCCGGCCTGTTCCTCCAGTGGGGTTGGAAAGTTTTTGCTGTCTGTCTGTTCGCACCACTACTCCTGAACGGCTCGGCCGATTCGGCTGAGATTTGGCAGGGTCCTTAGGTGTATGCTTGGCTCACCAATGGCTCCATCTCAATGCATGTGGTCGTTTTAGCCAAAAAACCTTCAAAACAGCAAAACAATAACTCTGTACTGACAAATGTTGTCATGATAAGTATCACACCGTTTCGTAAGTTTTAGAGGGTGCTGAAACTGAAAATGGAATCCGTTTCAACCTCCGACCCAGGTTCGAGTCCTTAACAAAAATTTCTGAGACAGCTTGTCGGAGGCAAGCAGTTAGCGCCGCAGGCGCAGGTAGGTGTTAACGCCAGGGGTGGATTGTCGTGACTGCACACTTAATGTGCATGTAGAATTTTGTACGTGCCACTCGCACGATTTTGAGCATGCGGGGAATTTGCATAATTGGCTGAGCGATAGCGAAGCCCGCTACTCCAGAGGAGTTAAAAAGCTTTTACTGTCTGCGTGTGTGCGTATGTGTCTGTGCGCACTACTCCTCCTGAACGGCTCGGCCGATCTGCCTGAGATTTTGCAGGGTCATTTGTTCTTGACTCGCCACACACCAAAATTCAGCTTTCTATCTATCTCAATCCATTCGGACATCACTCTACAAAAAATGTCCTGTCAACGCCGTTAATTTATTACCAATGTTTGCTGTTATGCAATTCACGGCGTTTGCTGTGAACTAGTTCACGGCATTCACTGTGATCTCGGTTACAGTGTTCACTGTGATCTGGCCACAGTAAACGCCGTGAATTGGAGCCTGATTTGCAGTTCTTCGGTGCTCAGCGGCGTCAAACTCACAGTGTTTACTGGGGACCAGATCACAGTGAACACTGTAACCGATATCACAGTGAATGCCGTGAACTAGTTCACAGCAAACGCTAATTGACCTACAGTGAAAACTGGTAATAAATTAACGGCATTTACCGGACATTTTTGGTAGAGTGATATTAGCCAGGAAACACGTAAAAAAAGGCAGAAAAAAGTCAACTTTTTAAGCACTATCGACATTTTGTCAAGTTTCATGTCGTTTTCTATGTTTTTGAGGCGCTGATGGCGAAAATAGAACCCATTTGGACCCCCGACCCAAAGTAAAATCCCATTTTGATGACCAAATGCCAATTTTTGAGGGGATCACGCCCATTTCTGGTGTCTAGCAAAGCAGCCTGCCGAAGGCAGGCTATCGCCGCAGGCCAAGGTAGGTACCGTAGAACGGGGTAATATGAGACATGAAGGAAAATCGAGACAAAGCGCACTTTTTTCGGTTTGTGACGTGTTGCTCTTTAGCGGTTGTTCAGAAGACCACCGTGAATTTTTTTTCGTGATCTAGGAGGCCGTGGCAGCTCACAAGAAACGCACACAGGCTATCAGAGACTCACCAGGATTATTTAGAACCAAAAGAAAAACCTCTTAATTCTAACAAGCTTTTTAAAGTTAGTAAAAACCTCCCCACAAACCTGATGATAGGAAATTTTAAATCCGTACCAAAATTCCACACGTTGAACATTGTCTATTCGTGTCAATTTTTTCACAGACCTGCCGAGAAGGCTTCGTCCCAACAAGGGTACCGTGCCAACAGGATTGAAAAGGTCGATGACAAATGTTTTCATTTGTAGGTCTCTCGTTTTCAACAGTGAATATCCGTTCAGAGTGCGTGGATCTACAGAGAAAAACGGCAAAGTACAGAAGACGTCCGTACCCGTCTATTGACCAAAAAAAAACCTTTAAAAAAGCTTTTAATCAGTACGTCCCACTTTTCTCGCATGTAGAAAAAAGTACAGAAATTACACGGAACATGTCTAGTCAATTTTTTACCTGGACCGTCCGTACCTGCCAACCACGGAGTTTCTGTACATGTTTCGTACCCGTTACATGAAACCCTTATGGGGACCACAGAGAACCAGTACAGAAGGTCCGTACCCGTAGGTACCCACTTTTCCGTACATTTTCCGTGCCAAACCACGATTTTTTGCAGTGCGGTTAGAACTTGGGTTCTCGTCCGAACGAGGTAATTATGTCAACATAATCAGGACAAAATTTGGTTCTGTTATGTTTACTCCCGGGCTGCCTGTTCCCGATGGAATAAAATTTTGTTACCTTGTAGGGAAAATAGAGACACCTCTTTTCGCTTGAAACATGAGACCAAACATACTCCACTGTTAATTATTTCAAGTATTAATGATTTTAACACTATTTTTTTTTTACCATCTGACCGGCATCTATGCTCTTCGTTTAGTATTTTCATGTGACAGGCACAACTCATGACTTCTTATACATTTTTCAGCTCTCTTTAGTGGCGCCTATTTTTCTCCCCTCCAGATTTAATATCGTCTGCATATAGTTTCCAATCATCTTGAAACTGAAGGGGTAAAGAAGACACTTAAAAATAGGTTTTTCCCAAAACCCGGCCTTTTTTAACTGCACTGTGGCAAAAAGCTACGGAAAATTCCGTTAACAGCTTGTGGTAATTCTCCGTAGCCCCCTTGTCAGTATTCTCCGTAGGCTCTTACAGTATTTTCCGTAGGACCGCACAGTATTTCCCGTAGGACCTTACAGTGATCTCCGTAGGACTATACAGTCTTCCAGGCCCTACGGAGAAGACTGTGCGGTCCTACGGAGAATACTGTACGGCCCTCCGGAAAATACTGTAAGAGCCTACGGAGAATATTAATAAGAGGGCTACGGAGAATCCCGGCAAAAAAATTAACAGAATTTTCCGTACCTTCCAGTGTGATTAAAAACCAAATTTGCCCGCAATTGGGAAAATTCCCATTCGGGGTTTTTAAAACCCATGGGACCTAACTGAAATTGCATGAGAAAAAAACGGGTCCCCCCAACCCATGGAATTAAAGGGGAAAATTCCAAAAATCTGAAGTCTATTTCCCATGTTCTACGGATAACACCAGGGTGGGCCTCTCCATGCGGAACCCTTTCCCATTGGCGTCGCCATTGCGCATGAAAAATGGAATTCCTGCCCGGGTGCGTTTGAAAATCTTCCGTCAAAAATTTTTACGTTTAGGTAATGCCCAGAAATGGGTAAACCTTGTAGACACAAACAGGTTGGGCAAAATGGTTGATCGGAAAATTTTCACCTATGGCAGACATTAATTTAAGTGATGACCTCGCAGACGGAGGCACTTCAAACAATGATCTTTCTAGACACTCTGTCATGGCAAGGATGTGCTCCCATGGGACACACACCATGGGGCATCTCCCCATGGGTTGCTCAACAATGGGAAATGGTGCAAAAAATCAATGGAAATCTTCCCATGGGAAAAATCGGCCCATGGTGTCCCATGGCGTCCCATGACTCATGGGATGCTCCATGGGTTTTTGGGACTGGGCTTTTTGAGACAGTGTGATTTAATTCCACATACTTCTTTAACATTTATTTCTTTAGTCTCATATTACCCCACATTGCAGGAAATATGGACCGCATCCAAGGGTATTAAAGGTCCCTACTGCACCTAACAATGAAATTTAGTAGCAGGTACCAAATGGTCAATTAACAGGGATGAAACCTCAGTACCTCAAATTGAATTGAAAGGGGGAAATTCACAAAGAATCTCGACATTTGTCTCATATTACCCCGTTCTACGGTATATACGCCAGGCGTGGATCGTCGAAACTGGCGCAGCATCGCGGAACCTGTTACGTCAAGACACGGTCTGGCGTACACCTACCTTGAATGGTGCGTCAAAATGCATAAATATGTGAGATTCCTGCACAATTTTACGCAAAACGTCACGCAGGTTTAAAATCGTGAATCACGACGTCAAATTTCGTAAACTTAGAGTGTGGCGCAGCATCGCGAAGCCGTCACGACACGACACGGTCTGGCGTACACCTACCTTAATGAGTTAAAGTTAGTTTTGATTTCC